GACTTCATAAAATGGCTCTGACTTGTAGCATGGGCTAACTTAAAAATAGCAAAACAACCAAATCAAATACCAAAACATACAATAATTTACCAGTACTTTGAAAATGAAATCAAGAATCTGCATCAATATTTTAATAAATGCGTATGATATTCATATTGAAAAACCTTATAGAGTCTCATTCTGTTAGGGAACAAACTAACAAGCTCTCAGACTGTATCAGGAATTATACTCAGGGCTTGACAACAACAAACAAAGTCAGAAGAAGGATGTAAAGAACCCTATATTCAATAACATATAGTTGCACAAACGGCCCTACTTGGGCTTGCATAAGCAAAAACTTCTGGCTTAAGTAATGTTGACCTTAAAATGTAATTAAAATAGCCTAACGGCTTACAGGTTAATTTAAACGCGCAGAAAGGCTGTGACTCGTAGAAGCCAGAGGAAACAATCCTAATTGTTAGAAGCGCTCAATGCCACTGAATCAAATCGCTAGTAAGTCAAAGTAACAACGTGGCCTTCAAGCAGCCATAAGAAGCTCTAAAATCACCTTCCAAAAGCTTCTCTTAAATAGCACTTCTTTCTACTTTAATTCGAATAAACGCGCTCTAACTGATTAGCATTCTGGCAGGAAAGTGTAGGTGAAACACGAGGAATGAAAGGAAAGTTGCTTTAACTAACAATTAACTATTGGAAGGGGTGGCCAGCAAGATCTCACATACCTCACATTGACTACTTTCTCTAGGGGTACGTCAAGACACCGGTGTACGAAACCCCCGTTAAAAAAAACAGTGCCCAATAACCTGTTGCTCGCCTCGTGGGTACTGCTTTGGAAGTCTGGAACATGTTGGGTATTTTTCAGAACATCAGATCTTGCCTGTACCAGAGATTTTGAGACCTGTATGACGGTTCGAGGTTGCAATTTCGATGTCGTAAAATAATTCTTTCTTTGATGGCAATTGTTGTCTATTTTTGTTTTCATTTCTTGATTTTTATTCTACTAAGCATAATAAACATGTTTTCTCACCCTGTTCGTGTCCTTTTCTTCTTGTGTTTTGTGTCGTTACTGCCGCGCCAGGAAAATGTTGCCGACCATGCATTGCTGTGTAATTTTCCATCGTCTAGGTATACTCTAGCGGCTTTCCTGAAAGTCTGTAACCGAAGTGCTAAAATATCCTATATATATATACATATATATAAACTCAGTTCTTGAACCTGAGGGACCGATAACTAATATTTTCACTAAGCTTTTAAACTGACTTGAATTGGCTTTAGCATCTGATTCCCGCGCGTGAATCGAGAGCCTTAGCTAAAACTTACAGGCCCATTTTGCCTTGTGAATATAACATTTTTAAATATTTTATTTTAACATTGCGTTCTATTGATTTCGCAAGCGATGGAGACCTGTTGTTACACGAGCTGTGCAAATTTGTTGGGCTAAAGAACTAGTAATAAAAGCTGCCCAACTGGTATAGTGGTTAGCGTCGCTGACTGCCGTGCCTAGGGGCCCAGGTTTGAATCTCGGAGAAGGCGGGGATGCTTATAAGTGTATAGTGTGGGGGCGGCATGGCTGCACTCAATATGCGGCGAGCTGAAAGTCCTCTCGTGTGGTTTGTTGGAAGGGGAGAGGGGTGGGAGGTTCTTCCATCAAAATTTGGGGCGGAACTGAGCCAAATCGCAATGTCACCTGTTAAGGCTGTTGCCAACGACAGGCTTACTCTTACTCTTATTCCCACGAGGGATTTCTTGGGCTTGGCCTATTACATAAGACAAGTGAGCATGAGCAACAATAACATTTAGTAATAAAAAAAGTCTGTTTCAAACCTTCTCCTGACTTTGATTAGGGCTGGGTAAAAATTCCCTTGGCTGTTTTTACGAAGCCGAAATTTAACATTTTAGATAATTAGGTTCCCTACAAGTATGATTATCTTCATAGCGGCTCTTCTCCTCCATATACTAGATAAATTATCATCATTCAATTTATAATGTTCTGTAAATGTTTATTCAGCAGTCTAAAATAACTTTGCGGTGCAGGATAGATACGAAGATGGACTGATATTTAATGACCTATATATAATAACTCAATTCATTTAATTACTGTTTTTTATAATTTAAATTAACAGGACTTATTCTCAACAGTGCAATGTATGATAATATAATGTCATCATGCAATTAAGTGTCTTGTTTTTCTAAAGTAAAAGTGTACAGTAGTTTATGCTAATATTGCGTTTTCGTAACATTTAGCAAATTAATAAAAATATTAAAGAGTAGAACAATGAAATATATTCGAATACGCCATTTCGTAGTGAAGAATAGAAACAGTCTGGTTTCAGGTATTGACAAAGCAAACAGAATTGACAGATTAAAAAACAAAGTATTCCTATTATTCAGGGAAGCCTGAAATGCTTTGACATATATATTGTGTTGTAACTTATTTGTCTATATAACAATCTAATCAAATGTAACTGTGGAAATCTGACTTTTCTTCCCCTCTTTTTGAATAAACTGTTGCGAAAACTTAACATGGATGAAGAGCATGGTAATGGTTTATTATGTAGAATATCTTATGTTAATTAATCAGTTAATTTAGATTTTGATCTCTATTATAAATTTCTGTCTTTACTATAACTTCTCTTTTTCTCATCAAAATGCTAGTTAGTTAGTTCTGTGCGTTTAAGCTGAGGATTTTGGGTCTTAAGACAGAGTGTGTTTCTGGCATTGCGCGCTACGTAGTTAGTTTCTGCCAGCTCTAGCAGTGTAATGATTTGGCTCTACGATCTCTCGCCGCCGATACATTAAATCTGACGTCGCCGGTAAATTTATTGAGCCAGCTTAGTAACTGATTGTGTAGTTTTAGGCTACTGCTCAACATTTAAATTTATAGATGTTCTTATTTTAATTGGAATTCCGCAAGCTGTGGTTATTTTTGTCTTGCTTTTATTTTCTATTTAAATAAAAAGGTTCTTTTTATAACCCTCCTAAGACTTCTGTCTCAGACATAATGATAACTTGCTTCACGTCTGGTTAGGGTTATAGGACTAAAGCAGCATTACTAGATCAAAAGTAACGCTAAAAATATGACAAATATATGTACGGTATGCAGAGGCGTAGCTAGGGTTTTCAGCCCCCGGGGACAACTGAAGATTTTGCGCCCCTTTCTGTGTGCCACGAATGGAAAACACTTCATTCTAAAATTTCGTACCATCAATTTGGCGCCCCCTGGATGCTGCGCCCGGGGACAGATGTCCCCCTTTGCCCCACCCTAGCTACGCCACTGACGGTATGGTTGGCCAAACTTTTGGTGTTACATGGTTCAGCAGAGACAGCAGGGAAGTATTCCGTAGTCGTCTGCAGGATGGAACAAATGAGATGCTCACTCCCCTAGAATCGAGGAAAAAATTCGCTTATATATTGGTGCTTACATAGTTGTATGCATACTATATGTATTTTTGTACTTATAATGTACTGTACTCTGTAATCTACTAACGAACTCGTCCAAAAATAATTAAATAAATACTTACTGATGTAATTATTTATCTCCAATGCTTGCCCTCCGTTCACCAAAAAGATTTTTGTCGACGTTTATACCACATATATAATTTAATATTTACTAATAACTACTATGTAAGCTGTTATTATCATTGCGTATTACTGCATTTACTTTTTGATCCGAAAAATAATTATTAGGAGAAAAATAATAAAAATTGTTTTTATCGGGTATGAGTTGGGTTATTAGAGCACGGCAAAGAACAAGAAGGCTACCTGCCTAAGGGAACTTTTTAGAGGAAACTGGCTCGTATTTGTTTAGGATTGAACAGTACAAGAAGCTCATTCTGTACAGCTAGTCATTTGCCTGGGATCAAACCCATGTCAAACTTATAGTTTTCAGCGGTCTTAATTGTTCGGCTACTAATGGGGCTTTTAACGGGGATGTTAAATTCATTTTTCAAGTACTACTTCAAAAATAGACCTGGAAATGTTCGTGAAGCATTGTATATTTTTCTTAAAGTAAGTACAAAAAGAAAAAATTCCTTTTAAATAAATTTTCTTTAAAACGCACATTTAGTTACAACATTGTACATCCATTTGAAAGTTTCTTTTGATGTCAGTTGAGAAGAGAGTGGCAAATATAATGAAGCTCGCATGAAATTTTAAAATCTATTCTAAAAGTCTGGATAAACTGGCAACCCAAACCTCACACTTTCCGCTGTAACTTTGTCTAGATAGTGTGTAAGGGTGAATTACGCTTTTCAGAAATTACTGGAATTTAATTTGGAACAGTTTCATTGAAATGCTAAAATTTTTAAGTCTTAAGCTGTTGAAGAAATTTATGATGACCACAAAGAGGATAATAAGGCTTTCAGGTCTGAAAGCAAATGTGAATTGTGCTAAATTTAATGAAAGCCAAATTTGCTGAAGGAAATACGGTTTTATAACGTATAAAAATGTCCTTGATGAATTAGAAATGAGTGAAACTGCTTCTAACGTATTTTCTAATATTGATTAAGTAATAAACAGTTTTTATCCAAAAATTTAAAATAAAACAAAGCTGTGTTAAAGACTTTTTATATAATATTTTTTTGTTACAGCATGTGAGTTTAAATATAAAAGAGCTGGGTAAGTAGCAAGCCTAGTGTGATATATATAACAAAAATGTAAGCATTTTTGTTATATATATCACGTTTATAGTTGAATTAAGATTCATCCTCAATTTGAGTCGCTATAGATTTTCAATTTCGCTGTAGATTTCGTTAAGATTCTTGAAAATTGCGAAATCGGAGTTTAACTGTGTTGAGTTTAGAGGAACTGAAATTGATAAAAGATGAAGTTGGAAATTCATTTCTTCTAAGCATTCAGTTCAAAGTAGTGTTATATTTCATTACCCTGTTCTTTCTTTAAAATCACAGATATCCTACTTAGGGACTCGAACAGAGGTTAAATAAACTTGGCTTATTTAACCTCTGTTCAGTAACTTTTTAATTTTTGATATGAAAGATAACAAATTTTCACGATTACAAAAATTTATTTTCTATGAACATTAAGAAGAAGAAGGAAAAAAAAAAAAAACTAAAATGATTTTTACAAATGTCAGAATTTGATTCGTTGGAATTCGGGAAATTACATGTGCCTTGTATTTCCAAAATTAATTCCACTTTGATTGGCGCCTTTGTTCGTTCCATATTGCAGATTAATGATGGTTTCGCCGGCTCGAAGTTGTTCTTCCGTAAACTCTCTTTCATTCTTTTCAGATGGCTTCGGTCCCAAGAAAGGTCCAGGAAATTCTGGGTGTAGGTAGCACTAAAAAGGAAGATAATAATTAAAGCTGTGAACTATTACAATTTAAATTAAATTAACAGAACTTATTCTCAACAACAGTACAATGTATGATAATATAATGTGTCATCATGCAATTGTTTGTAATTAGTATCTTGGCTATTCTGAAGTAAAAGTGTACAAGGGGGGAAATACAGTTTACTGAAATATAAATAACTTCGCAAAAAATTTTGATTTTTTAAGGCAGAGTGCGTAGACTGGGACTTGAACACATCTTTTATCATTTATTCGTATTCGATGCTCATTTTGAGATTCGAAGAGTCCAAGTGGCAGTTAGGTTTTGATTGCCATGGTTTCTATATATATATACCAAGTATAATGGAAACTGGAATTTCCCAAAATATGCAGTTCATGGCTGGGTCAAAGAATAGTGAATGATAGCTTTCGATATTCTATTGTACATCAGCATTTGAGCATTTGATCTTTTGGGTACAGATTCCTTAATTTTCGCGTACCACATAGTTAAAGAGTGGAAGTCCTTGATATCCTAGCGTACATTTGACATTTAATTCTTCTATGCACAGGTTTCGTGATTTCTGTGGATTCTCATTTTCGTTCCGTACAACATTCGTGCTGATATTTTATGCTTTATTTTATACTAATTTTAAATAAAGCTTAAACTTGAAGTGCTAAATGTTAATGCCAAAAATATGCACATTTGCTAGTAACAGTTCTAGATACAAAGAGGATACTTTTAGATACTTCTGTTCTAGATACAACATCTTCTAAACATACTCGTGGGAGAAAGGTTAATTAGTTACATACATTATAAATTATTATTAATTACGTTATTGAAATTTTCTCTGAGAAAACAAATCAAGTTTTTGGATAAGGTAAGACATACAACTAATCATAACAAAATATTTTCTTGTCTTTTGAAAAATTTTGTCATTTCATTATTAAAGGATTTAATTTATAAAACAACTTCTGAGCGAGAATTCTGCATTAGTAAACATTTTTGACGTAAAGTATGTTTAAATTACTTCACATATCACTAAAAACTTTTTTAAAGAAAAATATGCTTCTTTAATTAAAAATGGAAAATAATTTGTTATTATTTTTTGTCAGTTTTCTCAAAATGTTTTTTGAAATGACATGGTAAAATTATCTCTGTATTAAACGAATATACATATTTCACAGCATTTTTATTTCCAAAACTGAATTTTTATTAAATGTAGGTATTTTCAATAAATGTTTTAATTATTTGAAAATCTAATTTCTCCAAATCAATTTTTATTAGGTATTTTTAACAAAGTAATCTTTTGTAGTTAAAATGTAAATCTTAGTAAAAATATTTGCTAAAGCTCACAATACAAATATGCTTGCACACCAGTTAGCTAAATTAATATATGTCTTCTGGAAAAATTGTGTATATAGAATTGTTTTGAGCTTGGACTCGGACTTGGTGTTTGGGGGACAATTCGACTCGACCCTCTTACTTTCAAAACAGTGAATCTTTTATAATCTAGTTTTGAGCTAAAATAGCTAATGATTATAGTTCTGAGAGGGTGGAAAAGGGAAGTGGCAGCTGTTGATGACAAAAAGGCCATGTTATGGGGGGGGGAATGCTTTGATTTGTTTTTTCATGTAACTTATTGATTTTATTCAAAATATCTTCCAGAATAGTTTCCGTCATCTAAGCTTTCTTTCTACTGATAGCTAATTAATGCTGGTGATCTTAAAGTAGAGGGATTCCTTTCTCTTTCCAAAAATAAAATAAAAGAACTTATTGCTTCAAAATTAATTGCTAACTTTCAGATATTCTTAATGGCAAAGAAGTCTGTGAGAAATTTGATGTCTTTAATGAAATTGCATTAAGTAAAAGTGTTTAGAAAAGTAATCACTTCAAGAACGAACTGCGGTTCGTGTGTGATAACAATCATAATAAATTAAACGCAGCGAGACGCAAGGCATGACTGATGATACTACCGCCAAAGAAAATATCTTCGGAATGATTTTTTTTAATCACTTTCGGAAAAGTGTGAAATGAAAATGAAAACAAACAAACAAACAACAACCACAACCGAAAAAAAAAAAAAATAGCTTTAATGCGTACAAGAGTTAGAATCGTATTTTATTATGTTTTTCCTAGCAGTTCTCCGTATCTATTTGAGTAAATATGATTAAAAATGTCGATGTGCCCGCTAATTGCAAGATTTTCTGTGATATTAGATTTCTTCCTGATGAAGGAGAAAATTGCTGCTGAAGTTTATCGCACATCGTGTCATGCCCAAAGAAAAAACTGCATAAATGATAGTGCTGAGCGTAAATGATATCAGAAAAAAGGATCATTAGATTCCCAATAATGAGTAAAGATCGACAGTATGTGGCGAATGGCGAGTTTTGTTTAGTTATGCTTTGGATTGCCTGAATGAATGGCAAATTACTTGATAAAGGCCTACAAGAACTGGTAGCGGGTTTTTGACAAATATTTTAATCGGAAAGACAACTAGATGCAGAAATATCTTTTCTGCATTTGCTTTATTATTACCAAACAGTTCACAATTTGATTAAAAAAAGAGCTTTTGTAGAAATCTTTAAACATTTAATACGTCGCAAAGTTTAGACGGTAATGATGAAGATAACACATAGTATGCTAGTAGCAGAGCGTAAGTTTAAATCAATAAAGCGAAGCACATGCTAAGCAAAAAATTTAAAAGAATGTGAGGGAAATGGAGAAGCTTTTGTTGATAGCGAACATTGAGCAAATAAGAGTGATCAAGAATTTTTTTTACAACTTGGATATTTGTTTGTTTCAAAACTTTCACAAAAAAAAAAAAAAAAAAAAAAAAAACGAAAACAAACTAATGACTTTGATTAATTAACGTTAGATTTCTTAATTTAAAATTTTAACTGTGCGCCGAAATTTTTTAATTCATATTCTTACCTTATTCATGTAATCCTTATCTGTTTACATTATTTAGCCCGAACTTTATCGATCAAAAGGATTTTAATCTACTTATTGTATTATTTTCATATGGTAACTGCACATCTCATTCGTTCACTTCTTTAGTTATTTCCTTATGTATGAGATACTAATAATTTTTAAATTTCTAACATATTTTGCAGCCTTGTAATTTTCTGCGTGCGTTTAACCTTCATGTAATTTTTATTTAGCTTCTTATATTATTCAAGACATGTTTAGACATGGTGTGGTGTATTTAATTATGTGTGTGTGTATGTGTGTATTTAATTATGGCAAAGCACACTAGGGCTATCTGCCTAAAGGGAGGGATGCCTTCGTGGAGGACTTTCTAAGGGAAACTGGCTCGTATACACGTTACACATGGGGAAAACCACGAAAACACCCATGCAGCCAGCCCGTTCGCGGGATTCGAACCTCGGACCGAACTACCAGTGTTCAGCGACTTTACCGCTCGGCCGCTGGTGGGCCTATATTATTCAAGAAGTATTCTGTTAAAATATGTAAGAGAAAGGTTAAGAAATAACAATGGATATTAAAATAAAAATGGCATCAAACTGAAATACTAAAAATGAGTTAACTGAGCTTCATTTGTAGAAAAGGAATATCTTAAAGCCATGTGCGAGAAATGAACAGTTACGCAGGAAATTGTAACAGAAAAGTTAACAGTTATAAGAAAATTAAAGGTACGAGGACAATTATGAACATTCGAAATATGTAAGTAACTGTATTAACTTTAAGCAAGAAAATAACTAAAGAAGTATGCGAATGAGATGTGCAGTTACAATGAAAACTAATATGACAAGTAGTTAAAAGAATTTGCTTTAAAATTGTAAAATGCAATCTAGATAATGTAAATAGAGGAGAATTAAATGAATAAAATAAGAATATCAGTTAACAATTTGAGCGGAAACTTACACATATAAATTTAAAAATGTCATAATATGCAAAGAAAATACGAAGTTATACAAATAAAAAGAAACTTAAGCAAAATAATAGAACAAATCAAATTCATATGAATGAAATGAACCATTAAAGTTGTAAACCCTATAAAGATGTCAAGGAAATTCTTAAAATAAGTAGAATGTAATATACGAGGGCTATCCAGAAAGTAGATTACGTTTTGGAATAAAAAAATAAACAAAGTATAGGAAACAAATTTTATTATATACAGATGAAAGCCACACTCAAATACTACTTTTCTACATAGTCACCATAACAAATTAAGGCATTTATCGTAGCGATGTACGAGCTTGGAAATTCCTTCGTTGAAAAATTCGGCCGCCTGCGCCTTCAAAACCACTTCGTTACCTTCTTGCCTTCCATCTTGCACAAAACTTGTGGTAACCAAGCTTTTTGCTGATGATTTCGTGCAACAAAACTTCGCGAAATTTGTGGAAAACTCAAAGAAAGTTCCGTTATTGTGAAATTTCGATTTTCACGGACTTAGCATCGACTTTTCGAGAAGTTCGGCGGTCACTATGCTGGGTCTCCCACTTCGATCTTCGTCGTGAACATTGGTTCGGCCATTTTGAAATCTTATGACCCACTGACGCACTCCACCTTCAGTGATAATGTTGTCCCCATACACTTCACGAAGCTGCCGATAGATTTCTATCGGTTTACAGTTTTTTGCAGTCAGAAACCTTATTACTGAGCGCACCTCGCAGGATTTTCAATTAACGCAGACATTTCAAACCGTCACAGTATCTGAACGGAGCACAGCACGAACCTCTCACTAGCACGGCTAGATGCAGACTGAGCTGCGCAACGCTCTGACCCCAAGATGGCCGCGCTAGCCCCGCCCCTAGCGGACACAGACGGAAACGTAATCTACTTCCTGGATGGCCCTCGTATAATAGAAGAAAAATGAGTATTAACAATTCCAGAATTATCAAAGAAATTAAATATAAAGAAAAATATTACAAGTTGCAGCAACTTAAAATGTAAATATCTTAAAAATTATTCAAGATGGGAATTCTGGAGTACCCACATGTGCACATTTATGCGCATATTTATAAAGGTAATTACCGCCAAAATT